TATATATATAGTTATTTTATATATTTAAATTGATAAAACGCTGTTGTGGAAGTGTACCAATAAGCATTTGTTAATATTGAAAAATTGCTGACGAATAAACATTACTGCAGCAGATATTTAGCTCTAAATTTGCTGAAACAACCACAGCCTGTTTTTAAGAAGTGTATAATATAAGAAATGGTAGACAGAATCCCATAGGCATTGAAATCTATATTTCAGGAAATGCAGAGCCTACACCGAACATGGCCGGTCTACTTTGAAGCCTGGATTCGTGGATGGAAAGTCCGCTTTGAGGTTGCAGTTGTTTTTGCTAGATTTTTCTCTAAGATGATAAGGAGCTTATAATAGCGTGGCTTTATCCAGACACCATTTATGGGTCAGTGACGTGGCCATTTTTAAATTCTGTTGCCAGTGCTATTTTAATATCATTGAGATAATGTTTGTCAATATTTGGATTATTTTTATATTTTCTGTTTTCATTTAAATTTTAGTTAAAATTATTTACATTCTTTATTTAAATGTTAGTATGTTTGTCATTTTATTATTTCTATTTTTAATGTCTACATTAATTATTGCCTTGCCAACGAGCTTAAATAAAATATTTTATTTCATGTTAACATTTATGTTATTTAAAGTAACTAAAATGTTTCTTTTTATGGTTAGATTTAGTTAACCTGTAGTTTAAACCTTTTTTTTTTTTTTATCAATCCTTTTCTTCATTGTGGACACGCCTGCACATCGTTGACCCTCAAATCTGTTTTGTCTACAATGTAGTCTGATTTGAACTAGATTGTGAGTAGATTTGAACTTTGTTTTATACAAGTTCAAGTTTATTCACTCAGTATGTAAAGGGAAGACATTAGGTTATGACCATAATGGAGTGGAAGATACAGCCACTTAATGCCATTACAACTTTGCGTATTATGGCTTAAAAGCTCATAAATATATAATATTGTTTAATATAATGACTTTTAGATTTTTATGTACTGAACTTGCCATCCTGTATAATAGTCAGTCCCTGACCTGCATCTGAAAATACCAGGTCACTGTTTCTCCGACTGTCTTTGGAAAGCTAAGCTGAGACACAATCTGAATATACGTCATGTAAAATTTGTATCGATTTATGTCCTTCCCTCCAGACTCCAATAATGGTCAAAAGCAGAGTGCCATTTATTATGAGGGCTAATCATTAATATTGCCTCTCCATTAGCTGGAGTGCAGCTCTGTGACAGAATAATGGTCTGTGTCAGACAGATGAGAGGGTCACCGTGGATCTGCACGTGTCAAATTACAGCGGCCCACTCTTGTGGCAGGGATCAAGGCTCTTTCATTTCGACCACTCCCTCAGTTTGCTTGAAAGATAAATCTTTCCCACCCATGCTTTTAGAATTTTTCCATTTGATAAATAATAAAAGAGTGAATTTTCATTTGGGAGCACATAAGTGGTTTTGTCTCGGGCATTACCGTAACTGATGTTTACTGATTTTCCCGGATTGATCTGAAGTTACACAGGAAACGATAGCATAGGAGGGATGTGAACTTACACTAATGCTTAATAGATCAATCTTTTTTTTTTAATTAATTAATGCTTTTAATCAACAAGGATGCATTAAATTGATCAAAAGTGACAGTAAAGACATTTATTAATATTACAAAACTTCAAATGCGATTCTTTCCTTCAATTCATCTAAGAATCTTGAAAAAAGTACAATGGTTTCCATAAAATATTAACAGTTCCAAAATATCAAGTGGTTTTCAATATTGATAATAATAAGAAATGTTTCTTGAGCATCAGTTCAGCATATTAGAATGATTTCTGAAGGATCATGGGACATTGAAGACTGGGACAAGTAATGATGCTGAAAATACAACTTTGACATCGCTGTGATAAATTACATTTCAAAATAGACAACAGTTATATTAAATTGTAATAATATTTCACAGTATTACTGTTTTTACTGAATTTTTCAGTAAAATAATTCAGTAAAATTTTTCAGCAATAAAAAAATGTAGCCTTGGTGAGCATTAGAGACTATATGTTTGCTTCAGTCAGTGGTTTTGAAACTGTTTCAAGTTGGGGACCATTTGAACAATTAATAATTGGCACATTTGACTAAACACTTGTGTAAGCTGTCAGTTATATTATTTACATGGGACAACAAAGAAATTATCACAAATTAATCATAACAGTTTAATGTTGGTCATTTTTGCCTATTATAATTATTATCTTTATCCATTTTGTTTAAATCAACCAATCAATTTACAAACCATTTGGAAAGCTTTTGTGGACCACAGTTGGACTGACTTGGACTGGATTATTTAATCAGAGCATATGATGCCTAGTATTACTTAATTTTGTGTAATTTGGTTTAATTTACACGCTCTCAGACTTCTAACTCTCACCTATACAGGAGAAGATCCAAGACAGCAGACTCCCAGGCACAATTTTGTCTCATTAAAAATGACATTTCCAATTATTACTAAACTTGCAAGAGATGCAGATACATTTTGTTTGCTTTGTAGAAACTGGCTGCAATGGGAAGTGTGGAGTGACTATGAAAATAAGCTGTCTGCCATTTAATAAAATGAAGAAAGATATTGAGTGATTTGAAGGTGAGGGACGTTCACATGCTGAGGGAGAGGCCTCTGACTCTGCAGATCAAATTTAACGGCACATTCCTGTGTGGGGGGTCATGACCTCATTAAACTGATGTCCATTTAAAGTAATGCCTGATCTGAAAATGTACTGCTCCTGATGACATTTATGTTCGGCCTGCACCACTGCCCAGGAGCACAGCTGACCTCAGATTACTTGAATAATTTGTGGCCGGTCAAAATCAGTGGCCAGTTAGTAATGATTTGTGATCAGTGACCTGAGATTAACCTCAGATATGAATGGCATCATAGTCAGGGTGCTTTGCACTAATGTGTGACTATTATGCATGTTTATTACACTAAATTAATCTTAATTTTCTTACTTTTTTCTTAATTTTTTAAAGCTTTCATTAAAAAAAAAATCGATTTTATAGTAATAATACATTTTGTAAGTAAATACAATTATAATAAAAATATAATAAGCAATTAATCACAAATAAAATGAATAAGAGGAAAATGTATATTTAATATTAACATTATTAATAATATATGTTTATAAGCAGTTATGCATAATAATATGTATTAATAATAGTACATTTAAAAATTAAATATCATGCATAATATAGCATTTATTATTAATCTTTTACACAATATATTTATGTACACAGTATATTTTTATATATTGTCATTGCAAACATATATTATATACTATATATTGATATACTATATATTATGCATTATATATATAAAAACAAAGTATTATTATTCTTCAATATTTTGATGTGTGTGTGTGTATATATATATACTGTATATACAGTGGGTACGGAAAGTATTCAGACCCCCTTAAATTTTTCACTCTT